AGAAAACATTTACAGTGAAACTTGAGTATGGTGGAATGTTATGTGGAACTGCCCACAATAACTGGTTGGTTGGATTGAACAGTTGCTAGTATGATTATTTAAATGCAGTGATTTCATAATCAACACCAAATTTGGGTGGTAAGTACATCTTTTTCTGCTGTGGCCCTGCTCCACCGTTAGCCAAGAGTGTCTCTATCGTACCAACAAGTAACTCAATCAATAGCTCTATTATGTGCCAAATAAAAGTAAAAGTGCTTGCTAGTGCATAAAAAAGATAATTGGCATTAAAAAGTATAATATACTGCTAATCTGTTTCCGCTCAGTATGGCAACGAGTAATTTATGGATTCTGTTAATGTTATGAGTGACGATGAATGCAATTCCTATGGATTCTGTAAGACTATCCGTAGTTACAAAGCCACATTTGTTACGGACAAAGCCATCCGTATGTTACAAATTAGGCTATCCGTATTACGCTTGCGCAAAAATGTTTGTAAGGTACGGATGAATTTCTTTGTAATACGGATGAAGTGATCCGTAAGAACTCTAGAGTGTATGAAACGACACCTAGGTGGCTGAAATTTTACCCCGATGTTTACGTATGGGTAGGTAACATTTGAGCCAAAAGTGGGCCAAATCGTCGATGGTCCATTTTGGGCACTGCTGATTGGCCCTGGTTTGCCCCTCAGTCCAGATCATGACTAAAACGTTGAGCGAGGAATTCCTCATTACCCAAAATTCGGGCGAGGAAGGTTTCCTCACCCAAATTTGGGTCATAATACTATGGAGTCACATAGGCAGCTGATACACCCTTCCTCACCCAAAGTTGGGCGAGGAAACAATCCTCACCCAAATTAGGGTGATTAAGTATACCTCGCCCGAAATTGGGCATTAATCATGACTTTTACATTCTCAGTGTTCAGTGTTGTGTTGAACCCAATTTTGAGAGTTCACATACAAATCCAAAGGTCAGACTTCTCGCCACTCCAGAGGCCGCCAAGTCTCGCCATTTTGTGGTGAGACTGTTTTGTCTGACCATTTTGTGGCGAAACTTTTCTGTCTGACGAAATTTTGGCGAGACTTCCAGGTCTGATCAAAGATTGACTAGACTTTAATGTCACGCCATATTTTGACGCGAAGTCTTTCCATCCAATTTGCAGTGTTACCAGCATTGGTTGAGCTCCGAAACCGGACCGATGGTGAAGCAAGTCGGAGGAAACTGGAGTCCAAGTGTCTCCATCAGCTAGTGGGATGGTGGCAAAGAACGTAGGCAGAGTCCCAGGCGAGGGGGATATCACTCTTAAAAACTGTGACCCGACTACTCCCTATTTTGTTCTATTACGCTATTACAGAAGGCTTATTACGCTCGAAAATATCCAGATTTAGTCTAAAATCGGACCCTAAATAGGGAAAATCTTTAAAAATTTGGCTATTACGCTAATACTATTACGCGTAATATTAGGAATCGGTGACCCGACTATTACGCGAGTGATTTCCCCCTCGGTCCCAGGTTAGAGTGAGAAAGATTTAATCCGGAACACGTGTTTTTTAAGGACTTTGATTGTTTAGGCAGAAAACTGTTCGATTGACTAAAGATAGATTACGATATTCGGGCCAATTTAATAGAAACATTGCCTCGTCTCTGGTTTTGTCTTCCTTGTCACGTAGACTTGTCCTCCGGGTGACAGCGCCAGGCGCGGATCCAGGATATCCGTTTCCACTTTTGTCAAAGAGTATCCCTGGTTGCTTTGCCTACCTGCAGGAGCATGATCGCAGATATTGTGACGTTTGGTCGCGTACCGTCTTAAGACTAAATTGGGCCGTTCTCTACGGGGAGAACTAAAGCGTAACTCTAAGCTTGAGTCAAGCAGAAAGTTACGCTTCAAGACGTTACGCTTGAAATGAAGCATACTCACGCGGAAAATTCCCCCATGCATTAAGATAGGCGGGAATCTTGGCCGATGAGCCTGTTACTGTTATGCTTGATTTCAAGCGTAAACTGATTACGCTTGAAAACAGAGGGCAATACTGCGCTTTAGTTTTGACAGTGTCGCAGGAACATACGCATTGTATACTGTGAAGGCTCTTTTAATTGAGGTGTGCATGGGTACACGCTACCAAAAATGTCCTGTAAATGCCGTTAATTTATTACCAGTTTTCACTGTAGGTCAATTCACGGCGTTTACTGTGATCTGCTCACTCGATTCACTGTGATCTTGTTCGCGTTGTTCACTGTGATCTGGTCCCCAGTAAACACTGTGAGTTTGCCGCCGCTAAGCACCAAATTACTGCAAATCAGGCTCCAATTCACGGCGTTTAATGTGGCCAGATCACAGTGAACACTGTAACTGACATCACAGTGAACGCCGTGAACAGCAAACGCCGTGAATTGCATAACAGCAAACATCGGTAATAAATAAACGGCGTTGACAGGACATTTTTGGTAGAGTGTGGCAGGTCCTGAACTGCACTGTAAAAATTTATGTTGTAATTTAGCAGTAAATATGTTGCTAATTTTCTTAGCGATCAAAGTTGTTTTCAAATGACTTTCGTTGTTTACTAACGAGTTGCGTCGTTCGTCCACAAGATGTTTGTAAACCGGTAGACAGCCTTATTTGCATCAATTTTTATTGCCGATTAGGTCACAGACCTAGTAGAGTCCCGGTTACCCCGCAGTAACCACTTCTTAGATTGTGCGGGTTGTTTGTACGCAACAAAATATTGTTTTGAAATAGCATAAGTCATAAAAATAACAAGGTAGGTTTACGCCAGACCGCGTCTTGTCGTAACAGGCTTCGCGATGTCTCGCGGCCTGTTCCTCCAATCCGCGCCTGGCGTACCTACCTTGGCCTGCGGCGCTAGCCTGCCTTCGGCAGGCATTGGCTTGTCCATCGTCGGGTACTTCTTACGTGTTGCATGCTGGGGGGCTCCGCCCCCCAGACCCCCCTTAATTCTAGATAGAGTTGCTTCATCTACAGATAACACGATCTTGACCCTCGTCACTTTTTAACTTGTCGAGGCTGGGGGGCTCCGCCCCCCAGATCCCCCTTTCTTCAAGACAGAGGTAATCTACCTGCAGAAAACTCGATTTTTCGCCGTTTTTTAGGTGTTTTTCGGCTATAAAAACTGAACCAGTTGAGCTAGGATAGTGAAATTTCGCGTGTGCCGAGCCAAGAACATACCTAACAAGCCTGCAAAATCTCAGCCAGATCGGCCGAGCCGTTCAGGAGGAGTGGTGTACACACACAGACAGACAGACAGACAGACAGAAAAAACTTTTCAACCGCACTGGAGTAACAGGCTTCGCTATCGCTCAGCCAATTAGCAACGAATTCGTCGTTTTAAAACAAGCAAACTTGTTCACAAACAACAGCGTTGTCGAGGTTGGTAATTGTGTTGTTGTTTTAAAACAACAATTTTTAACAGTGTGTACGATTCGTGTGGTTTGGGGCGATCAAAGTGATCCGCAAGCTACCGGGGGCACTCGCCGCGCCCCATTCCCGGGTCGGACTCTCCGAAGGTCCGTACTCTGAGATTCAAATCGATATGAATGTAGCACGTACGGTGCCATGCACTGAGATATCGCACCGTGCAATAGCTATATTGCACCTTACGCGCAATGAATTCCGAAAATGCCCTGGGAATGGGAAGGCATTGTACTTCATGTGGCATTGCACCAATTGACGCTATATTCGTAGCGTTTAGATTCTCGGCGGGACGGGAGCCTGAAGCTGACATCTAGACCGGAACCAGAGATTTGGCGAGTGCAGAAGCATATTCAAAGTCATAGTCCTTGCAAGCCCAGCCAACTTCAATGGACATATCCGGTTGCCAGCGGCCTCTCCCCTCTACCCTCACCACCCCGGAGCTGTTTCCGGCTGCCCTCAGTCGGCCTGGGATCTTGCCACTGTCGAAAAAAAAATTTAAGTGTTTCTCTCAGCTGGATATATACTAAGATAGTTATAAATTTCATCTACGACTAAAAAATCTGTTTTCTTTTTTTATTTTATGATTTTTTAATACGTAATATGATATTTATTCTTAGTTTCTATTAATATTAAAAGTTGGAAACTTTTGCTGAGAATAGTTGGTGCTGGCCAGTGTAAACAAGGTTTCTTTCTGCTTTCGGCATCAGCTGTGTTGGGTCCCAGTTATGTCTGTCTTACTTCATTTTCTTGATTATCAATAATTAATGCAATATGGGTGCAAAAAAGAAACATTGTTGCGTGCCGGGTTGCACAGTCTTTGCAGTTTCTGGAGATGGGAAGACCGTATTTCGTCTGCCGTCTAATGCTGAGCGGTAAGGAGAGTCTCTTTTAACCTCCTTTTAGATTTACTTTGCATTTACTTTCGTTTCTTTCTTAGCCGACGTGAATGGGTGCGGCGAATCGGGAACCGGAAATTGCTCACAGAATAACAGGAAAAGTAGCGATATACATCGGCAACTTTGGCCCGTCCCGTACATTAACAAATGTGTGAATTTCGCCTTTGTTTAACCCTGACGAATTTAAACCAGGGTCTAGTGTCAAAATAAATGTCGTTTTCGTCATCAGCACCCTCAAAAACATCAGAAACAATGCAAAAACTCGAATAAAAAGAATGTTCCGAAAATACCCCACTGGGATTTGAACCCGGGTCCGAACTTCTCCGATTCGTTCGAAAGTGGCACCATTGGTTTTTTCTCGTCGCACCGATTCCAAAAATACCCCTACATGCCCTGCTAGCTGCATCCGTTGCCGAGATCCTCCTCGACCCCATGTAGACCATGATGCACCTGCAGCAGCGCAACCGGGGCTCGGATCGGATTTGCTGCCACCGGGCGGTTCTTAGGGTCACCCAAGGAGGCTGCATACCAAATTTGGTCAAGATCGGACCACGGGAAGTCCTCGGACGAACGAACGGACGAACGAACGAACGAACGGACGCACAGCATGCATCATACTATATGCCCGTCCCTCCGTCATTTTTTTTTACAAAAAATAAACGGGACGGGCCAAAAAATGTCAACAATAAAGACCACTCGGTTCGTCTGTCCTGGACACTTTGAACACAAAATGTTTCGGGACAAACATCACGACCACCTCCACAGCTTTGCGTTAGTATTTTAGTTTCTAGTACACTCTGCATTTGACCTTGTTGTATCGAATAGAAATGATATTATTAATAATGATTTATATTTCAGGAAACCAACAATTTTTCCTGATGGTCACCAGTTTCTGAATGACAGTGAGATGGCTTGGTGGGATGTGGAAAATGGTATGTTTCATGGATTATGGTTTAACTGTATGTGCAGCAACAGCTCTCCTCCTAATTTTATTTGTTTGGTTTTTCAGGAACACTTTGCTTTAGACCAACAGTGGATCAAAGGAAGGATGTTTTTGAATTCAAATCAAAAAACCTTGTGTCAATTTTAAAACCAAGGTCTCCCAAGCCTCCAGTTGTGACTCGCACAGTTCCAGTTGTTGTATCTCCATCACTTCAATTTATTCCACCTGCAGGTATGTGGTTATTCATTTATTATTTTTTTTTAGCTTAACCAGGTTTCTTATGTTATGATATTTTTTATTATTATTTTTCAGACTATGGATTTCTTGATTCTGAAATTGAGTCACTCCCAGAACCAGGGTCCTCAAAAAGTCGGTATTCTGCATTGAGTTCATTAGTATATATATCTAGGGTTGAGTGTCGAGAGTTAAATCTTAATTTGTTTCAGGAAAGAGGCCTGTTGGAGCTGCAGATGAAGAGGAGATTCACCAGGCTGAGAAATGCCCGAGAAGAGAAACTCTTTCAAATATTGAAGAACCCTCCTCTTGTCTTCCTCGCAGTAAGTGGCAAACTCTTAGATAGGGCTCTATTTTGAGAAGTGTGTCATTTTTTTCACTCATCTCACCTTTTAAAATCTCTTGTGTTTTTAACATTTTTTTTCTCTTTGATAGGGTCTATGGAATGTTCTGGGGCTCGGGTACGCTCACCCAAGAGGGTGAGCATACACCAAATAGCTTCAATGGCTGGAGTTACTCCTTTGTCAACTCCTTATGAGTTCAAACTTGCCAGAAAGGCGCAAGAGATTCGCCAGATGGCACATACTTTCCGCAGAAAGCTTGAAGTATGTCGCCGGGAGAAGTCTTCCCTCAAGAAATTGGCTTCGGCCAGGTTCGTCGATATGGTCGATGAGCTGCAAATTTCTCCTGCCACTCGTCAGATAGTCAAGGCTGAGATGAAGAATTTTAAGAGGAAGAAAAAGGGAAGAACGTGGACAGCTGATGATAAACTGTTTGCCCTCGCAATCTTTAAGAGGAGCTCCCGTGCCTACAGATTTCTCAGAGAGTATATTATGCTTCCTTCTGAGAACACTCTAAAAACTCTTTTGATGAAGGTTCCTCTTGAACCAGGTATTTCGGAAACCTTGATATCCTTGCTGTCTGCCAAAGTGAATAGGATGGAGCACTGGGAAAAAAATGTAGTTGTCTCCTTTGACGAAACCTTCCTTAGAGGCAATTTATTTTTTAACGAGTCCCAAAATAGTGTTGAAGGGTTTGAAAACTATGGCCACAGAGGACGAACCAACAGAGTGGCAGATCATGCCTTAGTTTTCATGGTACAAGGCATCAATTCAAAATGGACGTTCCCCATAGCTTACTTTTTAGTGAGCAAAACATGCCCTTCAACCATGCTAAAATTGCTTTTGACTGATGTGGTGAAGGCTCTGTTCTCAATAGGTTTAAATGTACTAGGTTCCATATCTGACCAAGGACCAACAAATGTGGGAGCCATCAACCAGCTAAAAGAAGAGAGTGGTGACTCAATATTTTATACAATTGATGACCACAAATTAGTGCATCTTTGGGACATGCCACACATACTTAAAAATGTGCGCAACAACTTGCTGTCAAGTAACTTAGAATTTTCTGGTGGTGTTGCAAAGTGGAGGCACCTTGTTTATTTTTTCAAATTTGATGAATCCCTGTTTGAAACCTCAAACCTTACTTATAAGCATCTGAATCCGCAAGGTCGGGATAAGATGAAAGTCTCCCTTGCAGCTCAAGCCTTAAGTGCATCTGTGTCCAAAGCCATCAAAACATTTCAAGCCTTGAGGAATTCACCTGAATTAGAAGAGTGCCTGGCTTTTGCACTGCTATGTGATCAAGTTGACCTCTTTTTCGACCTTTGCAATGGTCCAAGAGCTGGTGAGAAAGTAAAGGAAACAAGAACAAATGTAACTCCATCATCACTTCATCATGAAATGTGGGGTCAGATCTCTGATTCATTAAAGAAGTGGACCTTCATCAGGAATTCGGATGGGCAACGGCATGTGCCTCCATGCGTCCATGGCTGGATCCAGAATATACAAAGCTTTCAAGCATTATGGAAAAAGGTCGAAAATTGTGGACTGAATGTTTTAAAATTACGACACTTCAACCAGGATCCAGTTGAAAATCTATTTTGTTTGGTGCGCCAGTGTGCTGGTAGCGCTTCTGATTTAACTACAAGAACCTTTACTGCTGCTCTCAAGACGACTTTGGTAACTCGATTTTCTAGTCCAGTGCGTGACAAAAATTGTCTGGATGATGAGTCATTTTTTATTAGTGATTTAAGACAATTAGTCCTCTCCCAAGAGCCAACAGGAAGCTCTCCTGTCACTGTCACTGAAGAGTGTTTGATACGCGGTGACACTCCCCAAAAAATTCATCATTATCGTGCTAGTGACCCTCTGGAGCGGCAAGGGCCTACCAAATTGTTGGCTGCAGTTATGCCCACAATCACTAGAGAAATTAAATGTGATCAGTGCCTCTCCTTGATATGCACAGAAGAAAGACGACAGGACACATTGTTGATAACCAATTCATCTCTGGAGTTATTCCCTTCAGTTAATCTTGTCTCTCTATTCATGAAAGCACTCTCTTTGTTCAATCAAAAGTGGATGAGACTTCTGTACAAAAAATGCATCAAGAGTGAAGTTGTTGCAGTGTGCAATCCATCTGACTGGGCAAGGTTGTTTTGCCCTGCTCACATTGAGTCAGACTACAAAAATTCACTTTTAGAAGAAGTTGCTGTGTCACTCATTAAATCTAAAATTAGAGAGGTTAATCAAAAATTTAAAGAAAAAGTAGTCAGGCGCTCCAGGCAGGTGATGGCTAGTGACATGAAAAATTCTGATGGTCTCAGAGTCTCTGAGGAAGTGATGCATCCTTCAGATCTGCAGCTCCTCCTTGGACCAGGTTTTGTGAAATCTTATGAATCATTATTATGTGTCACTAGACTGCTATTTGTCATCTTGGTACCTCACTATATAACTAAATATGTCATTTTCTGTTGTAGTTTTCAAAAATGCATTTTATGATTTATTTTGTTTTAGGGTAGTCATATCACATACACCAATCGCAATTCTTCATGCCACTTGCCATTTATTGTTATTGTTGTAGGTTACTAACGGAAAAGATTGTCAATCTTCTTCTTGCGTGTGTGGGAGGCACTCATCACAATTAATTTCATTATACATTTTGGGTTTCAAAACGTCTTAGCTATGTGTGTGGGTCACTCAGCAGAAATATTTCATGTTGTATCATTTTTTGACATGTTTCAGGTTTAATTGGTTTCAGGTCTAAAAAGTCATCATTGCATTGCATTGCAGTTATCAAAACATTAATGGGAACTTTAGATAAGTCTATTGCATGAGTTACCGTTTTGGGTGTCTTTCAATTTTTGTCTCTTTAAAACAGTTAAGCTTTTCTGAATGTTTGCTTCTTGGTTCAGGTGATGGTGCAGTCCCTGCTGGTTCCTCCACTCCTCAAAGAGGCTCAACAGCTACTGGATCCTCCAGCTCAACAGGAATGACACCGCTGAGGACACCAGTGAGAGGGAAAATGCCTCCACCGTCAAGCATAGCTCCAACATTTGTCACTCCAGCCAGGCAAAAAGTAATGGCAAATTGGCAGCCTCCACCGACTCCTAGCACTCCACAGTCCGTGAGTATTGGCACTTGAACTTGAAATAAAACAATTCCCAGTTAATGTTTCGTATTTGTTGGATTGTATTATCTCTTTCAGAAAACCAATACGCCCACCTTTACTCTGGCACAAGTGAAGGATTTGGCTCAGTCAAAGAAGGTAAGTTTCCTTAAATATTATTTACCTTCAAACTTAAAAGTACATATCTCAATATTTATCTCGTAATTTTTTTTTTCAGCTTGGATCTTTAACAATTCCCCAGCTCAAGCAATTTTTGAAAGACCAGAACAAGCGGGTAGGGGGCAACAAACCAGAATTGATTAAACGAATAGAGACTGAAGTCTTCAATGTTTAATTTATATATTTGTTTTCAATTTGTTAAAATCTGCCTTGATTTGGTTTGATTTATGTTATTTTTCATATTTTGTTCTCAAGTTTATTTCGTGTTATTTTTTTCTAAGTTTACTTTTGTTTTTGTTATTTGACTTATGCCATTATGGCTAGTTTTCTATGTTCATTACTTTATGGCATGAACAACTTAGTTGACTCTTGTTGCTGTTTGTATTGCACCTTTATGAAGTTTTCATTTTTGTGACGAGTTATGATTTTTGTTGACAATACTGTAATGTCACTTATTCATATAAAGTGAGCTCAGTAATTTTGAATTAATTTCACTATGCTAGTTTGTGATTTGGTTAGGTCGGCCCGAAATTTCAGGCAGAGCTGTCAAATGTTGTTTTTGTGATTGTCAAGAACCTATAAAGCCCCAATCCGACTGACTCACTGACTCACTCACTCACTGACTCACTCATTCATAGAAATGTTTGGGGTCAAGGAGTGGTCGTAGAGACTTGCGGTTTTTTCCATTCGATTCCAAATTTTATAGGAAAATTGGGAAAAATCCCAAAAGTTGAAAAGTCCTCACCGTTTCCGAGAAAACCTACTTTATCTACAAAAAAGGGGAACAAATTTCTCACCGTTTCCGAGCAAACCTACTCAATCTTCAAAAAAGGGGACCGACCGACTAAAAATTTTTATTCGCCCCATCGGTAGGTCTGGTCGAGACATTTCCGAATCTGTGCCGCAATCCGGTCTCCGTCACTGGCAACATCCTCAAAAAACGATTAAATAGGCCTAAATTCAACAAAATCCACTCAATCTTCAAAAAAGTGGACCGACCGACTAAAAATTTTTATTCGCCCCATCGGTAGGTCTGGTCGAGACATTTCCGAAACTGTGCCGCAATCGGGTTCCCGTCACCGGCAACATCCTCAAAAACGATTAAATAGGCCTAAATTCAACAAAATCCACTCAATCTTCAAAAAAGGGGACCGACCGACTAAAAATTTTTATTCGCCCCATCGGTAGGTCTGGTTGAGACATTTCCGAAACTGTGCCGCAATCGGGTCCCCGTCACCGGCAACATCCTCAAAAAACAATTCAATAGGCCTAAATTCCATGAAACCCACTCAATCTTCAAAAAAGGGGACCGACCGACTAAAAAATTTTATTTGCCCCATCGGTGGGTCTGGTCGAGACATTTCCGAAACTGTGCCGCAATCGGGTCTCCGTCACTGGCAACATCCTCAAAAAACGATTAAATAGGCCTAAATTCAACAGAATCCACTCAATCTTCAAAAAAAGGGACCGACCGATTAAAAAATTTTATTCGCCCCATCGGTAGGTCTGGTCGTGACATTTCCGAAACTGTGCCGCAATCGGGTTCCCGTCACCGGCAACATCCTTAAAACGATGAAATGGGCCTATATTGAACAAAATACAACCGTTTCCGAGCAGTTTAAGCCATGTAATATATTGCGTCTTAAACCTGGCCGGAGAAATCTGTAGAAATCAGAAATGAAAGACGCAAAAGAGGCCCATTAGTTTGGCCTTCGGTCACATTGACCATAATGAACACAGATCTTATTCTTTTCAAAGCAGTCTTCAATATTTTCCGGACCTTGAATGCCGTTGACTGCCACAGTAGCCAAAACAATACAAGCTATCTATTTGGGCAGTAATAGTACCTTAAAAATTAATGGTCAAAAGCAGTTAAATAGACTCTCCCAAAAAGCAGTACAGTTACTTCATTAGAAAATTTTCATTTGGTCACCACGGACTTACTAATAATACTTCGGTACGCGCCCCACACGTGCGGGGGTCTGGGGGCGGAGCCCCCAGCGAGCAGCGCGAGTTTATAATATATAAGTGAACTGAAAATCCATTTGTTTTGGTTTTGCACGATTCGAGTTTCCCCCTTCCTATACTACCAACGTAACAAAGCAAAAGGCACAGCACCTGGTGATACCGGGTGACATTTGATGTTGTCAAGGTGGCAGTAGCCCAGGCCGACTCCGGCCACAGCCGTCACCGCCTTAGCACGGTAGTTGGCTGGGCTTGAGTCCTTGCGTAAACGTGCAGTGGCACTAATCGTTCAACGTTGCAAAGTAAAGGCTCGCATTGCGAACTGCTCTGTAAGTAACTGCTGGCCTCCGTAACATAAACGAGCGATTCGCAAGTTGTTGCAAAGTAGTTTGCGGCACGGCATTTAACGAAAAACCTGAGTGTATAACGAATGCGTTCGCCGCAGTACGAACAAGCCAAATTCTTTTGTCAAGCCGATCATATTTTTGGGCTTAAGATTTCCTTATTTTTTTTTTCTACAGTTAATTCCTGTCAACAAACCAAATTTGCTTTTCTTCCCGTAATTTTTTCTTTTTCGGTCGCGGTCATGCTCAAAGTAGTAGAGTCTTCCCAATGGCAGCGTTCTCTGTCATTCCAACTGTTATAACCTCTTAGGAATAGATTAATCATCTTAATTTTTTTCAAATAGAAAGTACTAAAAATCTGCTTAACACAAATCATAGCTAAATTTTGTACTGAAAGTATCGCTATTCTGCAATAACGCCTACAAAGAATAAGCAATGGAAAGTTAGTTAAAGCAGGAAAAATTGTCATAAAAATACTTCAAAAGACTGTTACATGTCGAAAATTGAAGGGTCGTTATTGTATAATAATGCAACATCTGATTTATTGCACTCCAGGGAGCGATAAACCGTTGTAATCGCAAACTCTATTTTCTCGCAAAAATTCTTGGTTAAAGTATCGCTAAATGTGAGACATTGTATGTATGAAAAATTTGGGCTGCAGGCGAGCTCCAGCCCTCACTGAGAATCCAAACGCTATGAATAGTAGCGTCAATTGGTGCAACACTTCCCATGCGTTAGAATCAGGCCTTTTTCGGGATGCATTGTACGGAAGATATGGCTGGCATTGCACGTGTGGTGCGATTACTGAGTGTACTGCACCACACGTGCTATTTTCATGGCGTTTGAAATCTCAGTGCTCATCCGCCCTGTCTTTACATCAAAGAAACTGTCGTTTCTGGCATCCGTTTTTGCTCTTCCCGATCAGAGCTCTTTTGGAGTACCCCATACTGAAATGGTTCAATGGTTGCATTCTGATGGCAGGGCAAGCGAGATGTTCTGGTGCGGGTCCTGTGACAAGACGACCTCAGAAGCATGCCGAGTGGAAGGGCATATCTGCTTAAGGTCGGACGAGGCATTCAATGCGGTCGCTGAAGAAGTCAACAGAGCCCAGGCAATGCTGGATACGATGGTTGACAAGGCGTTGTGGCGATGGCAGGCAGATGTGCAGGTGAGTGGGGTATTGTAGCCATACGACCAGTAAGGTAAAAACCAACATTATATTCAAAAAGAGTAGTTAACTCAGATTTAATATCGATGTAGACAAGATTTATTTGATAGTGATCCATGTGTGGCAACCTTGCCCTAGACTACAGAAAGGGGAAACCACTCTAAAAAAGAATTCTCCATCAAAATTTATGGTGTATATCATTTTAGTCAAATTTCCTAAAAATTCATAACGTTAGTCGAAATACAAGGAAATTCTTCAAATTTCAGCGACACCCATCATGAAATTCATAAAACATGGCTGCCTCATTAGAAATTTTTACAAAAAAAATTGAACACTGGAATTTAAAGCATTATCGTGTTCAAAAAAGTTATTTCCCCTACGACTTCCACGATCCACAGACGAACACTGTTAAAAAAATTCTGAAAATTCAGACCGAAAGTGTCAGAATTGTCCGTCTGAATTTCGTTTTCAGACTAGAGTCTTAATATTTGGACCGCAGGTCTAAAAATACGGACCTTGTAGTCTGAAAAAAAATTCAGACGCGGCGATCTGAAAATTCAGACTTAACAAGGATTAATAATTTGCCCCGAGAGTCTGAAAGTAGAATTCAGCGCGCTGCAGCGCCCGGTCTTAATTTTCTGCCCGACTCGTCTGACTCCCGCCCCCTCTCTCTGCATACGCTGCCTTAATCGGACTGCCCCGAAGGTAGCACCTTGAGCCCCAGAGTAGCCCTCTTCATAGCGCTCTGTCAGCACCTTGACCAGCTAAGCTAGTAGGCCCGAAAGCGATCTAGTTTGTCTCGGACTTGTTCGGCTGAGTCCGTTCGGCACCGAGCAGGGCCGAGCACCGAGCCGAGCCCAGTGCAGCGGCCGCAGGACTGTCCCCGCCGGTGCATTCTCGGAAAGTCCGGCGAGGCAGGGCCGGCTGGAGGCGCCCTCTGATTGGCTCGGCAAGGAGGGGAGCGTTAATCCGTCGGCAACTCGGAATGTTTTGGCCGACCCGGCGCCCTGCACGCAAAACGTCAGTCTCCAGCAGTCTTCCAAGGTGCACACATCGCGTGTATTTTGCGTCAGGTCCACTCGCTCGGCGCGCTGAAGTCATGTCGACGGAAAGAAGTGCATTTTAGTTCGAAGTGTTTTCTGCTGATGACCCTTCTTGACGCTGTAGTGACTCTGCGCTCGCTGTACGCACCTCCCGAAACTGAAGGGGCGGGCGGTGAGAGGGCGAGAGGTGTTCTAAGTTATTCGCCTCTCCCCGTTCACACTCGTCCCCAAAGTGCCTTCATCGGATATTAGTTCAAACTTCTGGTTGGACGAATCTGATACGTTCACTTCGTGTGCACTGGTGCGTGTTGGATCGTGTGCTTGCCACAGTGAGTTAATTGTTACAACCAAGGTTTGAGTTGATTTTGCGATGATAAGCAAAGAAATTTATGGTTATGATGACTCAAGTGACCAAAGTGACTTTTCAAGTTTTTTTCTAAATATTTGTCCAGACATCTCAATTCCTGGATAAAAGTTCCTTTCCATTGCATTAACTCATGCACTAAGAGTTGTACACCACCTTATTTTAGTTTCTGAGTTATGGATGTTTACATTAACTTTTAGTCGTTTCTCTCAAATTTTCCTCACGACAAAGGATTAGCTATCCAGTCTTCATATTATTGTAATTATATCTATTTTTGCAAAGGAAATAGATAGCTTTTTTAAAAAATATCTCCCTTAGTTTTCCTGAAACACCATAAACCAATAATAAGGCAAAATCTTATAAATTTGAAGAAAAATAAAAGTGGGCCTGATAAGTTAGCTTTTTAAAAGCTAATACAGCCTCTTCTGGACTTGTATTTTCAAATTTGACAACGCTTTCTTTTTCATATGCAAAAATAGATATAATTGCCAGAATCTGAAGGCTGGGTAGCTAATCCTTTGTCGTGAGAAGAATTTGGAGGAAACGACTAAAAGTGTACGTAAACCTCCATAACTCAGAAACTAATTAAAGTTGGAGTCCCCAACTTTGAGAATAATTTCAAGAACCTATAAAGCCCCAATCCGACTGACTCACTCACTCACTGACTCACTCATAGAAATGTTTGGGGTCAAGGAGTGGTCGTAGAGACTTGCGGTTTTTTCCATTCGATTCCAAATTTTATGGGAAAATTGGGAAAAATCCCAAAAGTTGAAAAGTCCTCACCGTTTCCGAGCAAACCTACTTTATCTTCAAAAAAAGGGGAACAAATTCCTCACCGTTTCCAAGCAAACCTACTCAATCTTCATAAAAGGGGACCGACCGACTAAAAATTTTTATTCGCCCTATCGGTAGGTCTGGTCGAGACATTTCCGAAACTGTGCCGCAATCGGGTCTCCGTCACTGGCAACATCCTCAAAAAACGATTAAATAGGCCTAAATTCAACAAAATCCACTCAATCTTCAAAAAAGGGGACCGACCGACTGAAAATTTTTATTCGCCCTATCGGTAGGTCTGGTCGAGACATTTCCGAAACTGTGCCGCAATCGGGTCCCCGTCACCGGCAACATCCTCAAAACGATAAAATAGGCCTAAATTCAACAAAATCCACTCAATCTTCAAAAAAAGGGACCAACCGACTGAAAATTTTTATTCGCCCCATCGGTAGGTCTGGTCGAGACATTTCCGAAACTGTGCCGCGATCGGGTCCCCGTCACCGGCAACATCCTCAAAAACGATTTAATAGGCCTAAATTCAACAAAATCCACTCAATCTTCAAAAAAGGGGACCGACCGACTAAAAATTTTTATTCGCCCCATCGGTAGGTCTGGTCGAGACATTTCCGAAACTGTGCCGCAATCGGGTCCCCGTCACCGGCAACATCCTAAAAACGATACAATAATATATAAAAATACACTACAAACCTAACTGTCTACTAAGTACACACTTACAAATGCGTGCTTGCAAGTACACACTTACAAACGCATGCTTGGCCAAGTACACACTTACAAATGCATGCTTGCAAGTACAGTATTCTCCCGCATTAGGTCGATTCGCAATAAGTCGTTTTCATGTGACGGCCCCCGCTTACGCACGGGGGTTTATGGCCCGGCGAGCTCGACCCTCGGGGATGATTGACAGGGGTCCTCCGTGCCGCCAGGTCGAAAACGCGCGAACCCGGGCGCTGACGGGACCCCGAACCGCAGTGCCGACCTGGCCAGGTAGCGTGGACCCGCAAGGCGCCGGTCGGCACAGCGTTTCGGGCCACTCCAGTGTAGGACCCAAGGGCCGGCTAATTGTTTTATGGCCTCCCCGAGCTCGGAGCACTGCCGGAGCCCGGCCTTCGCACCATGTGCTGTTCGGTTTTCGTGTTCGTTATAGTCCGAGATCCGGTCCCGAGCCGTCGACCTATTGCGGGAGAATACTGTACACACTTACAAACGCATGCTTGACGCATGGAGTTAAACGGCGTCAAGTATGCGTTTGTAAGTGTGTACTTGCAAGCATGCATTTGTAAGTGTGTACTTGGCCAAGCATGCGTTTGTAAGTGTGTACTTGCAAGCACGCATTTGTAAGTGTGTACTAAGTAGACAGTTAGGTTTGCAGTGTAGGCCTAAATTCAACAAAATCCACTCAATCTTCAAAAAAGGGGACCGACCGACTGAAAATTTTTATTCTTCCTATCGGTAGGTCTGGTCGAGACATTTCCGAAACTGTGCCGCAATCGGGTCTCCGTCACTGGCAACATCCTCAAAAAAACGATTAAATAGGCCTAAATTCAACAAAATCCACTCAATCTTCAAAAAAGGGGACCGACCGACTAAAAATTTTTATACGCCCCATCGGTAGGTCTGATCGAGACATTTCCGAAACTGTGCCGCAATCGGGTCCCCGTCACCGGCAACATACTCAAAATCAATCATCAATTGTCATCAAAAACCTATAAAGCCCCAAAATCCGACTGACTGACTCCCTCACTCATCAATCAAGAACCTATATAGCCCCAATCCGACTGACTCACTGACTGACTCACTCACTCATAGAAATGTTGGGGGTCAAGGAGTGGTCGTAGAGACCTGCGGGTTTTCCCATTCGATTCCAAATTTAATGGGAAAATTGAAAAAAACGCAAAAGTTGAAAATTTCTTACTGTTTCCGAGCAAACCTACTCAATCTTCTAAAAAGGGGACCGAATGACTAAAAAATTTTATTCGCCCCATCGGTAGGTCTGGTCGAGAATTTCCGAAACTGTGCCATAATCGGTACACCGCCACCGGCAATTGGGCAATCATCATCAAGAATCTATATAGCCCCAATCCGACTGACTGACTCACTCACTCACTTACTCACTCAAAGAAATGTTTGGGGTCAAGGAGTGGTCGTAGAGACCTAAGGTTTTTTTCCTTTCACCTCTATCCTTGTCAAAGCAGTCTTCAATATTTTCCGGACCTTGTATGCACCCATTGACTGCCACAGTAGCCAATGCAATACAAGCTATCTATTTGGGCAGTAAAAGTAGCCTTATTATATGGTCAAAAGCGGTTAAATAGAGCTTTCAAAGAAGCAGGACATTTACTTCCTTAGAAAATTTGCCTTTGGTCACCACGGACTTACTGAAAATACTTCGGCACGCGCTCCACACATGCGGGGGTCTGGGGGCGGAGCCCCCAGCGAGCAGCGCGAGTTATCTAATAGTGGTGGAATTTTGACCTCAAAATGAACTTCCTGTGACAAATATTTCTAGGACATGCAAGTTTCACTTGACAGTATCCTTAAGGTTACAAAATTGACTTTTACTAGCCACAGCAATTTTCATCCTTCTTAAAGCATTGGTTGGATCAACTTTCATATATTACCTTGCCCGCACTGCGCACAAAGAGGGAGGCGAGGGGTATGGGAGTGAACTGCTGAAAGCAAATTCAGACCAGGAAGCCTTTTTTTAAGAAATAAGACATCTCAATTTTAAGCTCACCAAATTCCTAAATTTCAGAGTCCAGCGGTCTTAATACCAATTCAGACTAGAGGTCTTAATCCATATTCAGACTTGTGGTCTGAATTCACAGGTCTGAATTTTCAGACCGCGTGTTTCTGAAAAAGTTGGTCTGAAAATTAGGAGTGCCTTTTGCGAAATTTTCTTCAGTTCATTTAGTCTGAATTTTCAGAATTTTTTTTTAACAGTGTACTAAACATAGTACCTCAAACCAGGGGGTGGCAACAGCCTAGTGCGCGCGTGAAGCTATGCGCGCCGCTCGGGCCGGCAAGGAGCAGCCGGGCGGCTGGGCCGCGCGGCCGAACCAAATTAAACAGAACTTTGTCAAAACTGCATCGATTTGAGTAAACGAAGTCATTTTTAGATTCTTCGCAAAATTTCCTATCCGTGAGTGACAATGGAATGGACTTTTGGATATGTGAAACAGTTCTTAAATCAATTTGAAAATCAAATTTACGGCACCAGACAGCCGACTTGAAGTTTCCCTTTCACTAAAAAAGCTATTTCCGTTCGTTTTAGGTCCATACATACAGCGAGCCGATTGTTGGCCACTATTTTCCGGGTTGCGTGGTACACTTGAAACGCCAATACGACTTCTGTAGCAGAAATGCCGATCCAAAAACTAATTTCCATTTTTGGTCCAAAATTGTATTTTGCAACTTTGGAGGTTAAAAGCACAGTTTGAAATAGGTTTCTCAGCATTGTCAACCTCACTAAGCAACCCAGAACTCAATTCTCTATCGCCCTGCTATGTTGGATTTGCGAAAGGAGGTCAAACTTCTAATTGAAACGAAAAGGCCCGAAGCGCTGCAAAACCGCCAAAACAGTTCAAGTATTTTGTGGAGCTTAATGTGTGAAAACTATTTCTCAGATTGTAAATCCAACCACACCACCTTGTAGGCCAGTCAATTCTACAGCTCCATTGTAAGTTCCATCGCAATCGGAGACCAAGAGTAAAGACAGCTATAATAATTGTAAATCCCATCAGTTTGGTTGATTGGTCGAGCGGGCGCAAGTATGAGAAATCGCTGCGGCAGATTTTTGCAGCTAACTTTAAAATATATTCTGCCGCCTTCGCTCTTGGTCTCCGATTGCGATGAAACTTACAATGGAGCCGTAGAATTGACTGGCCTACATGGTGGTGTGGTTGGATTTACAATCTGCTCACACATTACACTGTTAAAAATGAATGAAATTTAATGACATTTGTGACATTATTTTTCATTAAACGTCATTATATTAAATTACATCTCCACATTCATTACATTGTAATGAAAATTTCATTACCTCGGTCATGAAGTTTAATGGCATTAGCCATGTAATGAAAGTTTCATTACATTATGCAGCTTGTCATGAAATTTTCATTACATGTCATTAAATTTTTCAAAAATATTTAAGCATGACTGAAATTTTTTAGGTTTGTCCAGGATCTAAGTTAAGCTTACTCAAACTAATTTAGCCTTCTATTGGCCGTTAACATCAATTTTTCTCGTACAAGCGTCTATTACGGCGTCATGCGCCAAATCTGTCATTCGCAAGTCTGCCGCTAGGTGTCGCATGGTACACGGGGATCACTCTCAACTCTGTATTTTGTGATAAAATATTAAAACGTGAGGGGATATTCTGAAATGTATCCCTGTTTCATGTGAAGTGGTGGATTGTTTAACTAACGGCGAAGAGTTTGGTGGAAAAGAGCGATATTTGAAGTGACCAAATAGGTTTTCCTGATGTTGCTCGAAGGCGTCTACGGGCTGCCGTCTGGTAGGGTCAGGCCCCGATCTCCCCTCTTCAGACATGTCTATAAGACATGCATCTAAACTGCCTCTGACCAGAGTTGTTCTGGGTCACTCAATTTTTACCTCTTCTCTGCTGTCAGAGTCGTTGTGAATCCACTTCAGCCTATGTCGAATCGAAAAGTTGCGCAATTTGTGTGAACTTTGATCAGTTTCATTACGTTTTTGTCATTAAAATTTTCATTACATTCGTTCATTACACTGTTATGAAAATTTTAATAACATTTATGTAATGAAAACTTTAATTACATTGCAATGATTATAGCTTCACTACCATGTAATGAAAATGTAATTAAATTTTTTTAACAGTGTAAGCTCCACAAAATACTTGAACTGTTTTGGCGGTTTTGCAGCGCTTCGGGCCTTTTCGTTTCAATTAGAAGTTTGACCTCCTTTCGCAAATCCAACACAGCAGGGCGATAGAGAATTGAATTCTGGGTTGCTTAGTGAGGTTGACAATGCTGAGAAACCTATTTCAAACTGTGATTTTAACCTCCAAAGTTGCAAAATACAATTTTGGACCAAAAATGGAAATTAGTTTTTGGATCGGCATTTCTGCTACAGAAGTCGTATTGGCGTTCCAAGTGTACCACGCAACCCGGAAAATAGTGGCCAACAACCGGCTCGCTGCATGTATGGACCTAAAACGAACGGAAATAGCTTTTTTAGTGAAAGGGAAACTTCAAGTCGGCTGTCTGGTGCCGTAAATTTGGTTTTCAAATTGATTTTAGAACTGTTTCACATATCCAAAAGTCCATTCCATTGTCACTCACGGATAGGAAATTTTGCGAAGAATCTAAAAATGACTTCGTTTACTCAGTTCGATGCAGTTTTGACACAGTTCTGTTTAATTTGGTTCGGCCGCGCGGCCCAGCCGCCCGGCCGCTCCTTGCCGGCCCGAGCGGCGCGCATAGCTTCACGCGCGCACTAGGCTGTTGCCACCCCCTGCTCAAACTTGAATTCTATGGAAGGAAGAATACTTTAGAAGTGGGAAAACATGGCTTTCTTTCCTGAGATTAGCAATCGGTCCAATCATGGATCACCTCTCCAGCGGACGGACTTAAGGCAGGCACACCCTTAAAACCTTGCGAAGTATTTTGAGCATACGTATAACAAACTAAAATACTTTGTTATACGAAGAAATAGTTCGTAAATTACGAAGTATTTGATTTGTAAGCTTACGTATGCTCCAAATGCTTTGTTATACAAACTACTTTTCTTTGTAAGGCCCAAAATAGTTTGTAAGGTTTTCTCAGTGCAAGGCATGAGTTCAGTTACTCCCAAAACATTTAATTGGTCGGTCTAAAGTGCTTGATGATAATTTTCTGAAGTGACTGCGGTGATTCACTTACTTGGCCCTGAATCAGGGGCACAAGAACCACCTCTTTTAACGTCATTTTCCCATCGATTCTTGCGGTCCCGTTTTAGGTGCCTTTCTAAATGCAACCGTGCAGAGTAGAGAGAGGCAGTTGAAAACCATTCAGCTTCACATCTGACTGTCAAAGGGTCAGTCTAAGCAGCACTGCAAGAAAAAAACAAAACAACAAAAGTACACAAATTTCTGGCAAATTTTTGTATCAAGTTTTTATTGCACTTTTAAAGCACAACAATTGTTGTACAAAGCACCATGGAACCGGCATGACGAGTGCTGTGCAGTCCAGGCCTCGATGTGGTTTGTACAATTCTCGTTGTACTTTCTACAATCCCTGTTTTCCTGTTATTGTACAGTTTTTGTTGAACATCTGTTGTACTATTCACACTTTTTCTTACAGTGAAGGAAATATAGAAATTTAGAATCTGGTCACCCGGTCTTGAGATATAGAAACGATCTATGTTTGCTACCCCGATCCATGTTCGGCACTTGCGATGGGTCCTATGAACAAAGACCGCTATGCTTTGCATCCGTTGAACAAAGACCGCCATGCTTTTGGCCGCTTCTCCCATTCGAAACGCATTTTTCAATTGGCGTAATAAGATCGCGGGCTGCCATTTGAAATTTTCCGATGCAAAGCATAACGGTCTTTGTTCATAGGACCCATTGACTTTACTCTAAGGTTTTTCAAGTGGCTCTTCTTACGCAACCACAGGTTGAACATTGCTTGATCGAAGAAGATGCAGATTGGGAGCCCGCTGACGAGTCTGCCGTCCTCTTCCTGGCTGGCGACCTCACCTCGGAAGAACGAGGCTTATTTCAGCATTTCTTGGAGTCGTTGGAATTTTGGCCAGAATACGAGTACACGGTTTCAAGTGGACTCAGGAATACCGGTAGGTTTTCTTGTCCATAAATATAGCCCTAGGGGTAGGTTGGGGAAGAAAAGTACAAAACGCGTACTTTGCACTGTACAGAAGTTTCAAATGAGGATTCAACTATTCTGCTCTCGTAAACTTGTAATCCAATTAGACATGTGCGCCGCGCCGCCGCCGCGCCGCCGCCGATGATTTTTGCCGGCGGCGCGACCTTGTGTGCCCAAAATATCTGCATTTCCATCAGCAGCGAGCGCCCAGGGATAGGCAACCCGACGAGCACGTTCTCCACCGCGAGAACAAAATCTTATTGGAGTGTTAAAATTGCTTAATTTTTACCTTTGTAGCGAAACTAGTCCACCTTAAAGAACTAGTCCATCAAACTGTGTTTTCTTTTCATGGGTTATGTTTTTAAATTGAGAAAATAGACCAAATTTAAGCCAACCACGCCGCCCGCGCCGCCGCCGCCGGTCAAGGCATCGGCGTGGACGCCGGTGTCGCCGCCGCCGCCGGCTAAATTTCGGCCAAACGCCGCCGCCGATGAAAATGCGGTCGGCGCACATGTCTAAATCCAATACCTTCTTAATGAAATGGATCACTGTTCATTGATTATAGTTCCCCACATTACGTACAACATGCCAAAATATATGTGGTTTCGGAACTCCTCGAAAAGGGTAAGAAAAGTACACCACCGGGAAAGAAAAGTACAACGAAAAGAATTGCGATATCGAACCAGGAGACCACCAATCTTGGCTCAATACAGGTTTACCCTTAAAGTGGAGAGCTTTCAGTTGCCATTAGTTCAAGTTTCTTCAAAATCGGTCAATTGGTTCTGATTCTACACGGACTCATCACAGAAGGTCCAAAAAGCCTTTTCTCAGAGATAAGGGGGTACAGCATTTTTGTACTTTTCTTCCCCTTTTCACGTAAATGCCCAATAACTTGTTTATTTCGAGTGCAATTCCATAACATGTGTTGACCTTTTTGGCTTGTCTCGCCTAATCAAAACTATTTCCATGATCAATGCAATATTTATCCCGCTTTAAGGTTTTTACAAGGTGTTCTTTTCTTCCCCAATGCCTGTACTTTTCTTCCCCATTTCACTTATACACTTACAAAAATTTGTGTTGAAGCCTTAGAGCATCGAACGGCACAGTTTTTCAAAGATGATGGTCTAAGCTATAAGGTGGTACCTTACATTGGACTGTCGGCTGATTCTGCATGTTGAGTCAGAAGAAAAGGTAACGGGTGCACCGGGGGAGTGTTGAATGAAGGGGGAGTCTGGTTACGATAACTGTCACTCTATTCCGGTGGTTCAATGGTCACAGGTCACAAGTTGATGAGGGCACCAAAACAACGAGTCGCGAGTATCCATCCTCTGCGACGGCCGGTGCGTGACTGCCTCTCCAGCGGCTGCGCTCGGGACGCGACCGCGACATGCTTACTCTGCACTTCGCCGCGTCGCGCCCCGTCCGCGCCTCGCCGCTGGATATAGTCGGCTTCCCACAACACCCCGCACATTAATTTTAAACTCGCTCCTGCGAGTTTTTCAAAACTAATTCACACAAAAATTTGTGGTTGTTTTGGTGCCCTCATTAACTTGTGACCTGTGACCATTGAACCATCGGAATAGAGTGACAGTTATCGTAACCAGTCTCCCCCTTCATTCAACACTCCCCCGGTGCACCCGTTACCTTTTCTTCTGACTCAACATGCAGGAAGCTGTACTTCAAAGTACAAACGTTTAAAAAAAAGGTTTTCATAGTTATTTTTAATGTTTTTTTCAAACTTGCAGTTTGATTCTAAATAATCAATGTAGAACTGGGCTAAATTCTTTTTTGTCAGCGGGATGACCAATGTTTCTAAAACCACTAACGTGATGGTTCAGTGTAGTTTCAGTTCGGAGATATAGCGGGTGTTCTTTTCTTACCCGAGCCTCCAGTGTACTTTTCTTACCCAACCTACCCCTATATATAAGCTAGGTGCAATTCTTCAAATACTATTATGGTGTGTAACAACACTAGTATTTCTGATATAATAAGTTTCATACAATTTGCTGCTATAAAAAGGCTAGTGTGATTCCTTAAAATTATCGCATCTGTGACACGTTTGTTACCAGTTACTGAACGGTTTTGTGTCCATGGCCGAAACGTTTTAACACGTTACCATATGGCGGCAATTTATTTTATTGCATGATTTGAGTAATTTCAATGCCTTCAGCATCTCACTTCACTAGTAAATCACTGTGGCAAAAATTCTCCGTAGGACCTTACAGTATTCACCTTACTGTAAGGCCCTACGGAGAATATTGACAAGAGGGCTACGACGGACCACAAGCTGCTAACAGAATTTTCCGTAGCTTTTTGCCACAGTGATTTACTAGTGAGGTGAAATGCCGAAGGCATGAAAATTACTCTAATCATATAAGTACATAAATTGTCGTAATATGGTAACGTATGGAAACGTTTCCGCCATGGACACAAAACCGTTCAGTTTGTTACTAGTTACAGAACGGTTTTGTGTCCACGGTGGAAATGTTTTCATACGTTATCAAATGGCAACGATTTATATTCTTATATGATTTTACACACTAAATGTCATGGGACTTTTTTTGTCGCACGATTCATGCAATTTTAAGCACATCCGACGCTGATACAATTTTGTTGCCGTCTGGCGACACATTTTTTCCGACGCCTGCTGCAAATTGAACGTTCACGAGACAATTTGACCCGCCTGGCGGACACAAAATTGCATCACCACCGGATGTGCTTAAAATTGCATGGGACAAAAAAAGTGCCATGACATCTAGTGTGTAGTAATTTTTACGCCTTCAGCATCTAACTTCGCTAATCACTGTGGCAAAAAGCTACGAAAAGGTTCTGTAAACAGCTTGTGGTAATTCTCCGTAGGGCCTTACAGTTTTCTGGAAGGCTACGGAGAACATCGTAAGGTCGTACGGAGAATACTGTAAGGTTCTACGGGGAATATTGACAAAAAGGCTCCGGGGATCTACCACAATCTGTTTACAGAATTTTCCGTAAATTTTTGCCACATAGATTTACTAGTGAAGTGAGAAGTTGAAGGCGTGAAAACCTACTCAAATCAAATAAAAACATTAATACACACTTTCGAAGCAACCAGGAACGTGAATAAGTCAAAAGGAGCTAGCTAAAAATTGTTTTTATCCCACTGAGTAAGCGCGAAAATCATGTAAAATTTCATCAAAACCGCTATAAAAAGTTAAAAAAAAAAAACTCTCAAAAGATGCATTCAGTGTTCAGTGGGGTTTGGTCTTGTCTCACGTTCCTGAACGTTTCAGATCCGAACTTCGCTGCTATCGGAGATCTATTGACCAAGTTTCCCCGACGCCCAGCTGGCACTTACCTGCGGCAACCAGGCCTCCTCCTTCTGACCGACAATGACCCATCAGTCCGGTTGTACTTCGATGGTGTCCGTCCTGGAGAAGGGGACGACAGTGTGATTCTGGGTTGCGTTGCCGTCAACATGCACCTTGTCTCCACCACCAGGCGGTTCAGTAGTTGCAATTGCCTAAGCAGCGAGGAACAGGGTCGATTGCTTCGATTTTCCGACGTGCTCGAGGTGTAGGACATGTGTATTTTTTTTTGTTTAATGCACCGCATTCTTCCCATCGGCAACAGTTACCCCAGTAAGGTTCATTTTGTCATTTATCTGTTGCCATTAATAAACACATTTCGAATTATTCTAACCTTTCTTGATTTAAGTCCCCCTTCCTGCGCCAAATTGAAATGCAGAAGGGAAAATAACATGGAAAAGCATGCAAGCATGATATTGGTCATTTTTCAATTAAAAAAACAAAACAAAAAAACATGCGTTACTTAGTGCCAGCTTCCTGGCTCCTTTTAGACTAGCAGTAGCTGTGCTTGTTGAAAAGAGAACGAGATTTTGCTTTAAAGTGTCAAAAGGATTAATAAAAAGTTTAAAAATTCAGTGGCTATATGTTACAAAGTATTGTTCACTGGCGAGTGAATGAGTCACCACAAATATGACTTGTGTCAAAACAAAAAGCAAACAACTTTAACAAGAGTTGACAAGTTGATGAGCTTGATAACTGCAAAGTACAATTAATCACTGGTAAATGGTTATGCTCAATTACAATAAGAAAAAGAAACTCAATAAATCAAGACCACTGTTAAAGAAGAGGGACAGATTTGAGTGGCAGCCTGGCACGTAAAATTTAGGTGAACTTACTTATTACTTTCTCGGGCGCCGGTGCTGGGCATTCACAGTATGAACATGTTGCTCTGGTGACGTTTGGCTCCAAATCATGTGCAAGAGCACTTGCTGCATTTCCCTCGGTCAACACCTCTTGGGTCTTTCATTGTGCTGCATACATAAAAAAACAACAAATGTAAATAGGGTACAATACCCAGTGAGAAATGGCTCATCGAATCGACGTCGATTCAACATCGACATGGACGTCGATGAAACGTCGATTACGAACGTCGAATCGACACCTATGTGGTCCCGGGATCGATGTTTAGTCGATATTGACGCAATCGATAAAAAATCGACGTCCGACATCAATGTTACATCGACCATCCACACCCAGCTGGCATGTGCTAACACGATGTAAAGAGAATATCAGGAATTTAGCAGACACAAATTTGATGCATGTAGGAAGTTTTTTTTATTATTTGCAAAACAAAAAACATAGCAAGAACTCACAGAAAGATTATTCTTTTCAAGTAAAAAAAACATAATCTTATTCTTAAAACAAAATAACAATTTCCTCTTTTAATACAAAAATAATTAACAGGACACAAAAAAAAACTTAATTCGCTGAATCACTTGGCTTTCTTATCTTTATGTTTCTTGACTTTCTTCTTGACTTGCGGTACCTTGCGCCTGCTCTAAGACCCATCCCCTTGCATCCGGTAGGCCGCATCTCGAAGCCATAACTGAGTGGCCTTTTCTGTTGGCTTCAGGTCAGATCCTTCAATTTTGTAGAGCACAGCACCTGGCACAAACACACACACAAATATAGACAATAATAACAACAAAAATAATAATGACCAAAGGCAAAACACAAGTACACAAGTCAACACAGATTAAACTCGCCTTTCACTGCTGTCCACACTTTTAAGGCAGAAAAACGTTTCTTCCCTTTTCGGCCTGTTAGACTGAAAAGCTTCG